GGTTCAGTGGATATTAGGCCTGTCGTCGATTCTTGACATCGGACACATTCCAAACTTATGGCGGTTTCGAAAATCGAACTCACAACTTACTGCTCGAGTTATGCTGTGTTTGCAAGTCCGGCCGTCAACTTGTCCAAGACCAGTACTGCCCGACCTACTCTTCTTAACAAAGGAGCAGCAAAACGTTAAAAAGCATATGCATCGTAAGGGAACAAATATTATAAATAGTTAATTATTGATAAGTGATATCTACGGGCCACACCAGGCCCACTCTTCAGCGCCGAAACTACATTGGTATTACATCTTTGATATAATCTTTCTAGTAGTCGCCCTTATTTTAGGGAGCCCAGACGATTCATCGACGGTGGCAAAAATTACGGAAGGCGGGACAGCCTGTTATATTAGGTTCAAACCGTCAGTACGAAAGAACTACAAACTACAGAGCTCAAAGCTCAAGTAGCATAACAGAGGTAAAAGAACAAGCTCAAAATACTAAGAGTGGAGAACAGTATATTTCGGCAAATCATAGATAATGCGTTAACTCAAGCCGGAAGTTATTTACTTTCAAATACAAAAGATATTCAGTTCGAGCTGGAGTTTCACGACCATCATGACAAATGATGACATCGATATAAGGAAAAAAGTAACAAGAAATTCTTTTTGAGGATGGCATTGCACTGAGAACACAACCAAAAGGTTAAATAATCTACATGCAAAGTGAAGTTCTCACGATTCTTATCTCTAGCCGCACAGCATTGATTTTCATCAGTTCATCTTCATCGTAGAGAGATTACTCCTGTCAGCGTCTACGAAAACAAAGTTCAGACCTACATGTCGAAGAAATAACTATCACACAATTTTTTATCTATAATAATATATCATACGCGTAGTATGAGAGGTATATAGTAAACAATTATTAATCCAATACATGAACTTGAAGGCTGACTAGGGTAAGAATTATACCTTATTTAATAGTAATGAGTTGTCCACTTCAGACATTACACGAATTCAATATTTAAGTTAATAATGGTCTAAGTAAGAAAAATGCTAGCCATTAATGAGCTTAACGGAAACTCGATTCTTCTAGAAATAATTTATTCACATTAAATACATGTTAAGATCAGTAATAAGGAACTCTGCAGAAGGTTCACCGATAGGGTATGATAAGTTGGCAGGTGTGGTCCTGGCGACTGGGTGATATCTGGTACATCAGCCAGAAGAAGCAACCGTCTAGAGCTCACCAATCATTGAATATTAACGATTTTTGTGCGCATTTGTTGATGTGAAACCGGATAAACACATATTCAAATAGATTTCAAGTGGCAACTCATCAGCATTTATTCGAAACAACAAAGGTATTAATGCGAGTCAGGTTAAGTGTAGCCTACTGGTGGATCTAAAGACTGAGTTATTGGAAGTGTGGAGTTATCGATATTTAGTGCAGCAGCTGAAGTGACAGCGGCGGCAGCTGCAGCGTTGAGCTCGGCCGCAGACTGTTCCTCCAAGGGATCGTCTTGCAGCACAAACTGTGGCTGCTGCTGGTGATGACGCTGGTTGATGGTGCGTTCGTCTATGCTAAGACTAACGATGTGCCTGCCTGGCACCATAGCTAAGCCAAGCATTCGAGCTTCCTCTTCTCCATCTTCACAAGTTGTAAAAATCAGTCAGTTAAGTCTTGAAATCACAATTAAAGAAAAAAGAACACCCTAAAGAAAACCAGAGATGGTGACATAGGTCAATCAAGAGATTCGACATTCTTAACGCGACTAGATTGATATGTTTCAAGTCTATGCTTCAAATATTCATTGGACAGCTAAAAGATTAATTATTCCAATTCAAAATGAGACGGTCATCAGGTAAATTAGATCTGTTATTCCTATCAATCTACATAGGGGATTGAGATATCTATAAAAATATCTATGACGTACCAAGTATAGGGTTGCTTTTGGTGTATTTATAGCTTCAACATAAACCTAACAAAGCTGGCCATCACACGGGAATTTTGAATAAAGTTCAATAGCTATCAATTACAGTAATCATTACAAATACAATATTTCGACGCGAGAAAATTATACCACGTACCCGTGTGAGTGTGGGGCAGATGCTCGGTGCAGGAAGACAGGATGATGTTCGTGTCGCGGTCCGTACACACGAACGTGCCTACGAGGGTGCGGCCGTCGCTCAGCACGACGCTCATGAGCGCGTGGAGCCACGACCGCAGCTTGGCTCGACCAGGGCTGTCCTGAGCGTCGAGAATACGAAGTAAGCCATTAAGAAAGGGGGGAACGTTCAATATTGTTCGCATGAAACCTAAAAAAAAAATATTTTTTTTTCTGTAAATTTTGAATGACGTTGTTACGAAATTTACCCATTTTAACGTAAATTAACAGTTATAGAATTGTTACTACTCTAGGGACTCCTCTACCGAAAAACCAACTGCCTTAGCTATGCTAATTCAGCAAACCAGAGACTGTTGACAGTAAATTAGAATATTTTCTGATTTATCGTTCAATAAATAACATTTTTGCCTCAAAAAACGTAACTTAATAAAAGTGCTTAGTACTAAGACTAGATACCTTTTTCTCGATGGGGGTGGTCTGCTCAGACGTCGAGTCCTGAGACTTGGAGAGCACGCCGCTGCATTGGCTGGGCGCGCGGCTCGTTGGCAAGCTAGGACGAGTCGACGGCCGAGCTGAAGATGTGGGCGCAAAACTCATAATCGCATACGTACGCTTGATATATCCTGGCAACAACGCAGTCTGTACACACGCACTCAATTATTCAGGTGCATCAGGGTAAATGACCAAACCGGTACTGAAATAGTTGGAAATCAGTTACGACTGAAATTCAGTTTGCTGCAAGTGTATGCAATGATTCCTTTACTGCTACTATTAATGACTGATTTACATGAAAACCAGTAGTTATTCTCATATAATTCGATATTTTATCACATTGTCTCATCTACTGGTTTGCCCAAGGTCGTCATTTCGGCCTCATGTCGTTTAGCAAATATCCCATTGCACGAAGGCACCAGACAGGAAATGGATATTAATTGAAATCTATGGACTTAAAAAAAAGTGAAAAACGATTTCTAAATTATTGCCCAGGATTTTCATAGGAAGTTAAATAGGAGTTAAAGAACACTAGGAAGATAACGCCGGGGGAACGTGCTAGCTTCCCCAACAGGATCAAAGGTCCTGCCTCCTGCGGCAACAAAATAAACCAACATGTTTACCAACAGACACATGCTTGTCATTGACATTAACACGTTGACTACGTATTGGTACATATGCGTACCACGAAACGTATTTCTCCAGGAGGTAGTGGTACATAATTCAGGTTACCTAAAATGGGCCAAATCCGAGAACAAAAAAGGCCAACAAAGGCCGATAATTCGATGTATACTAATTTATTTGTATGTTCCGCTATAAAAATCCATTTATTTTCTTTTTGCAGCATTTAAAATTTAATTAGGAAGTACCCCTATCATAAATTTTAGCCGGCCAACGCAATTGAGAAAAACTAAATCACGGAATTTGTCCGGAAAAAATGACCGTCTGGCAACCCTGCTTAAAAAAGTACAAAAAATGAAATAATAGTACAAGATGAAGCAATCGTAGTCAACGTGTTAATAGAGTATTTATATCTTACTTGTTTAAAATGATAACGAAACAAAAATCAGGATTCAAAATATTTGATTACGAAAAGATGAATATTAACACGTTTTTAATAGGAAAAGGTGCCTACGATAGACGCTTGCAAAGCCCTAATTTATTAAGTGATTCCATAGTTCCTCGCTTCTGAGAAGCCGCTACGGTATCTAATGAACGCGAAAAAGACAGTTGGCAGAAACAATGTTGAGAGATGCATATAACACGTTACAAACTGTAATGACATTGAAATTCAGAGATTCTGCAACACAGTACCTTAAGAATCCCTCTTAAGAAATTGATAATCCGTGGTTAAAAACAACAATTGAATTAGGAAAATATTATCCCAAGAATTGACAACTTGACAAACTGAGAGTACTATTGCTGCATCGACAAACAATATAAAACTACGAGAATGCAGTGACCAATCTTAACACTAATATACACTCGCGCTGTCACCAGTACAACAATATACACGCAGTGTATACGGGATTTCCAATACTTGAGAATGGCAGGCCCTCACATTGTTGATGGACCACGTGGGCGGAACTATGGGCGAAAGGCAGCATGATGAATCGAAATTGCAAGCAAATGCTAGCAAAAAGTAACATTTGTGACTGATAGTGGTCGCATTCCCTGATTATAATAATAAAATGTACGAAATATCCTAAACTCAATTGTAAGCACGCTGTGAGTTGAAGATGTGTGGTTTCAGTTCATTAATTTTCAATAATATATGCTCATAAATTCACAACAGCGAAAACATAAACGGAAGATATGTACCGTAGCGAGTGCAACATCAAGGAGCGTTCTTTTCAATGAGATATTTTCCCCAAAGACTTCAACATTTTGAACTAAAGCAATGCAGAATGACGAAAAAATTTGCAGTTTCAATGGAATAACAAACTTCTTCTAAGAAAAATCACTTTGAATCTAAGAAAAAGCTTCACATAACACTAAAAAAATTAAGAAAACGAACGAAATGAAAAAAAGTTTGGACAGCATTATTTCTCAACTTCTGAGACCGTGAAATGAAATACAAAGGTAATTCATCAGAGAAAAAATGAAAAGCGGACCCCAAGTAACAGAAAAATTAAAAGCTGAAACAGCCAAAATCGCTCCGCAGACATAGTTGTTTCAACTGTACAGAAATTCGGCAACTGCTTCAAAAAGAACACTAAAAAATTGCAACAAGTTTGTAGCTTAACTAAATTTTGGTAAACATAATTATTTCCATACACTGTTACTTAATATTTTTAGTTATTCCCAGTGCTTTCTAACTTAACAGAGGCACGTTGGAAAAATTCACATCCAATTCGTACCTGCTCCTCTACACAATAAAGCCACACAGGTAGGTACACAACGGCAACATCATTCCGTGAAGGCTTCCTTAGCAGAACTATTAGTGAGCAGCTCACTAAATCCTTCATGTCGTTTGGTTGCAATAAACATTAAATATGCGTATTACATCTCACGGCAATAATTACTTCGAATGAACAAGTACCTATTTGAGATTTTAAATTGTTGAGAATTTCCAAAAAAGTCTGTGCCTTTTTTTCATTTTAATTTTAATAACAACGAATAACACCGTACAATGGAGTAAAAAAAAACTTCTTCAGTTGTGTCCATAACTAGAAAGATTAGCAATAGCGGCGATAACGTAGTCATTTTCAAAATTAATGAAATAATAAAATTATTCGATTTTTGGTCGACTATTTGTCAGATATGAGCATATCAGTAGTATATACTTATCAACATAAAGAGGTCTCGACGAGACGCCAGCAAGTCAATTGATAGGAGTCTTTTATAATCACAATTCTTGAGGAAGCTGCCGATGTTAGACAACCATGCAAACCCATAGTTAGTAATGGTGTTTTTTTTTAAATACCTGACAGACAGCATGACAGTCAAAAACCAGGTGGTAAACTATTGAAAACAGATTAAACACTGTACTATTGGAATGCATAAAACGATGCTTCATGGAACATTAGAAAATTCTATTCCATTAACCTAATTGTTCATCTCTCCGACAGAGGAGCAGCATGCTGCTTATTGAGCAGCAGTAGGGAGGAGGCGCGGAGTCTTGGCCTCTTGGACGCGTCGACGAGTTTCAGGACTTGTGAGTGGGCGCTTCAGGTGGCCGTTTGCCTGTACAGTTTCAGGAGCTTCAACACAGCAGGGCGATTCCGTTCCCTCTTCCTCGTTCTTCAAGATTTCAGCCGCCGCCTGCAGCATCACTGCGTCATTCTGTAAAACAATAGGATTAAGATTATTAAACTACAACTTACATTAGGTACAAGTGATTTAAAAACGGATATGACTGCGAGGCACAAGAAATTAGTAGATCCTATGGTCGAGTGATTAATTGAGTATATAAGTTGAACAGCAAACTCAGCTCACTTTAAACCAAGGATGTTGCAGTGTTTGCTGAGCATCATATCGTTCGTCAGGGTTGACAACGAGCAGCTTAGTGATGAGGTCTTTTGCTTCAGCAGAAACATTTGTCCACACTGGCCTCTTGAAAGAAAATATTCCTGAGCGAATAAGGTAGCGCTGCTTGTGTTGATCTGAGTCATAGAAGGGAGGATATCCCGCCAAGCTGTAAAATAAACTTTGCTTCACTAACGGGCAAGTTTACTCTCCATTAGTAAGGAAATTATATCACACTCAATGACTTTAAAACATCTCATCATCTGTATTGTCATAGGTCACAGAAGTTAATTGGATCGACCACCTGGAAAAAAACCTCAGTGACATTGTGATCAGTTTTTTTCAATTTCATGGATATGAAGAAGTATGGTCAAAACTAATAATATTACTGATTTTTCTCACCAAACAAAAACGACAACACCGAAGCTCCAGAGGTCAACTTTATTAGTGTATGCGCGCTGGTTAATGTCGAGCAGCTCAGGGGCGATGTACATCTGCGTTCCGCAGAAAGTACTCATCATTGAAGCGTCGGCGGTCAGCTTGGATAGACCAAAGTCGCTAAGTTTCACACAGGATCGCACGTCCTCCGTTGCCAGCAAAATGTTCTCTGGCTGAATAAATAAGTGAACGTGAGAATATGATAAGAGGCTTGGAACTTGAAGTGGAGGCAAGTAAACACTCCTCACCTTACCGCTGTAAAAACGAAGTAATGCTGCAATGAAAAAAAATGTTAACTGGAATTTTGAATTGTAACAAATCACAAACGAAGAGTTCAAGGGAAAGATTGATTTATTAACAAATCGTGAGGTAGATTAATATTTATCTGTAACGAATAGTGATGAATTTTAGTTTTTAAATGTTTTCTACAAATATTCAATATGTTGCAATAATGATCTAATTTGGTTTAGGAAAGAACATAGTCACATCCTGTCTGAGGTAGGTATGAATATATGAAATATAGTGTACGCAATTTAAACCATCATGTCTAATGTCACCGAGGTTTTTCTATGGCAGAAGCTCGTTTTTCACATATATTACACGCGGAATTAAAGAATAACGACAATTTCACAGTATTTAAATAACTTATACACTAAATCATCCGAGAATACGGTATCCCACGTTCATAGTCCTGACTTGTGCAATGTGCGAATTAGTCGAGGTATGTACCGCGCACCTTGATGTCCCTGTGTGTGATGCCTTGCTGATGCAAGTGTTCGATGGCGAGGGCGAGCTGGTAGCAGTAGAGTTTGGACACAGACTCTTGTAAGTGTCCAGTGCCGGTGATGCGGTCAAACAGCTCACCACCCTCAGCGATATCCATCACCAGAAAGATTCTATCTTCAGCCTCTATCACGTCCCATAGACGCACAATGCAGGGCTGTGAGTATTAAAAATTTAGTTCTATGTCATTGCCGTGGCAATATTTAAACAAGAAACAATATCTCAAAATAAACAGGAAAAATACATCACTATGTCAAACAGGAAAAATGCATCACTACATAGAACATAATATTAGCACTGTGCAACATGGATAACATGGAGAATATGGGCCGACCTCACCACTCAGGTCACTTATAACAACAGAGTCTATGAGGACGGATTATAAATAGCCTTTAATAAATCATCAATACGGATTTCGAATAATAACTCTATACAAAGAAGAGCTCACAGTTACAAATAGAAAGCAATTAGCCAGTCACTCACATGATCGATGGACTGAAGAAGAGTTATTTCATTTTGAATCTGTGAAACTTGGTTCATTAAAACCGTGTTTCCATTAGCACTCAGCACTTTCTTCTTTATTATCTTGATAGCACATCTTTCTAGAGTATCCTGAAAAGCAACAATAGAATTATCAAGGAATTAATATTGACATTTTATTGAAATTATTGAGTTTTAAGATTCCACAAAGAAAGTAATTAAAAGAGTCAAACTTTGGTACTGAGCGCGCTCAAACACTCACCTGTTTGTAGGCTAGTCTCACTTCGCCATAGTTGCCTTCTCCAAGTTTTTTAGTTAGTGTGTACTTCGAGGAAAGCTCACAGGGATACTGAACAGCATCCGGGTTCTCGCAGTCATAAAACATAAAAACTAGAAAGGGAATAAATTTGTAGATTTTAGGTTGTTGAACTCATTTATATTAATTTACAAGGAAATGTTGGCAAATAGGTGAATATATAGAATTAATATTTCAACCTGTACAACAATTGACAGAATACATTTGCATTGCCTACCACACAGTTACCTTTCTTATTAGCTTGTGCAAGACCAATTTCATCATTGTGTTTCAGAACGGATTTTTTATTCCTGCCAATGAGCCTTCGGTTAAGGAAAGTTCCATTAGAACTTAAATCCTCGATGTAGATAACAGCATCACCACTGCCTTTTTGCTCACGCACAATGCTGTACAGAGAAAACTTGAAAGAACAAAACAATTTGTCATAAAATATCCTAGGTATTCATTAAAACATTACAAATATTGGAAACAACATCAAACTTAGTACTACCTATATCATAACTCACCAAAACCATGCATGTGGGTTTTGACATTATACTAATTTTCAAGCATGTATGAACTATAATTGCCTAGGCAATCTTCGGTGCTCTCGAGAAGAAAAGACCGTAAATTTGCCAAGAAAAAACACAATTCAATCAATGGTGAAGTTTCATTTATTTCAAGGTTGCCTATTACGGTACTGTTAACAAAAAAAATGCCATCAGCTCGCGAGCAAACATTTCCAAAATCTCTGAAAGAACTCACCGAAAATGTTTCTTTGATATAGCAGTTAGAATAGATGGATCAAAACATTCCTTGGTGAGTTGGTGATCAACGAAGCCCCGGCCAAAAGTATAGCTATTTTCTGAAAAATCTAACATGACACAAATAGTTAGTGTAGAGAAAGATCTGAGTCATTGAGATCTCCAGTCATTATATATTTTGTACCATAAATCACAGACAGATCTGTTTAAAATTAAATTATTTGCTGCACAGGTGTGAAAATGCATAGTTTATCGTTTGTTTTGCATCATATACATTTTCATAACAAAAAATCAAAAACTATTTGGCTGATCCTGAATAATTAAATCACTTGTGATACATTTTGAGATATTGTAGACATATGAAAAATCACACAAGACACAATTCAAGATTTAGGAATCCTTGTGACTTTTTATATTATTATCGTAGATACAGCTCTGCCTATGATAGAAGCATGTTAAACCATGTTTTATTTGATTGTAGAGAGTATAAATTTTTCCCATGATCATGCCATTAGACCTTGATATTACACGAATAAACATTGCAATATTGCTAGTAAGGTAGATGAAGCAAGGCTGTTGCTTGTATGAAAAACTACTATTTGCCAGTTGCCCTGAAACGGTGAACGTGATTATTAAACTCAACTTACAAGGATCCACTCCAGCTGGTGGTACTGTCAAACGGGGCAATAAGGGATGGGGAAAACGGTTTTGAGCGTTTTTCATTAATAACTTCTTACCATGAAAAATTTTCATGAATGAGTTTAAGCTCATTTTAAAGGTCTTTGTGAGGGCTATCATTTGGCATCTTCAAAAATTTCAATATCCTATTTGTAAAGTGCCAGACGTAAAATAAAAGTGTCCAGAATTACCCATGGGAACAGAGTAATCCGGGACATTTGTAATAAAACCTAATTTTAAAACGTTTGAAGCATGCAGAGTGTACTCATCCATTACTAACAGTACTTTGAAGTCCTCCACTTCCTTAGTAGATGATATAAATGCAAAATAAATAACATTTTCTGTGTTTTTCTACTTATTTCCATTATCAGTGATATTACCGTATCCATGGACATGCCATTGTGTATTTACAACAACCTTGTCCACTGCAAGCTTCATATCAGCAGCCATGTAGTATTTCTTCTGTATCTGTAGGCTAACAGGATAGCTTGTAATTTTACACCATTTTAATCGAGTCAAGTGAGTTCAAATATAGTAAAAAAAGATTGTAAAAAACATACCTGAAACAGAAAGGAATATTTTACTGACAACCATAATATTTTTTGGAGTATTAAATCATAGTTTAGGTCCATTACTTTTCATTCTATGTTGCCCAGTACAGTACCTATTCTATCTATAACATTATATGCACAATTTTGGTGCTGACCAATGATGAGTTAATTTTTCGTTAAGTGAAATTTTTTTTGCTGAGCAAGGTATATGCAATCAAAATTTCTAGTTGTTAATTGATTTTTTTTCATTAACTGGAGCCTTTGCTAACCGGGGTTCTACTGTAAATGCGTTTTCAGAGGTGTCACTTATTGCAACGTTGTGCGGCTTTGGCCGCCAATTTTTTTTTGAATGAGCTATGCAAATTCCATCAATCATGTTTTTAAGCAATACATGTGTGCAACTTTTATGTAACTAAAATTTTCCAATATGGCAAATATCTCTTTTTGCTAGATCTTAGCAGAGGTATTTTTCCAGAATCTCACTTTTCACACTTTGTCAGAGATTTTTAGAGGTAGCAAATGTTATGATTTCTTAACTTGCTTTATGCTGCATGTATAGGAAAATGTTGAACTTAATACCACTATTTTTAGTTATGCAATATTTCAATTGGTTATGTTACCACAACATTTCTACAAAATATCGGACTGTCCTGATTTACTTTGCCTGTCCCTTATTACCCTGTTTGAATGGTACTCAGAACTGATTCAGCACTAGCAGAGCATTCTGATTGTGCTGCATACAATGAATTTTACTCTTTATCTAATGGCCCTGAATACAGCATCATTAGCCTGCAATACTCACGATATACTTTGACATTTGGGCGCAAGGCAAGAAGACGTCCCCATACAGTTTCTTCCCCCAAACTGATATCAGGGCACTCCTGAGTCTCACGCAAACTCTGTTGTAAAAAAGGCCATTAGATTTAGCTATTAAAAAATTTTCAAGACAAAATATATATATATAAATGTCAGAAAAGAATTATTTCACATTAAGCAACAGGGAAATACAGCAGGTTAAAAAGCATAAATTATTAAAAAAGTTGATTTTCTGTATGGTTCTCAACAACAACCTCTTTTCCATGAGTATAGAATATTATTCAAAAATTGACTCTTAATGAAATATTTAAACCATTTACTCAATTCTATTTGCAGTTGACTCTTGGTATCATTTACTGGATCAAAGAATGCAGACATTAATTTTAATTCTTTGAAATGGATATTATAATAAGTACCATAAGATTAAATGGGATACGTATTATAATGGGTAAAATAACATTAAATAGTAAAAGTAGGATAATGGTAGGCTTTTTACCCATATTAAGTGATTGAACCTTTTTATACATCTTACATATTCAAAAAAGTTTAAGCATTAACATTCAACTTTTGTTTTACAAAACATAAAAATTTGGCAAACTATTCAAATTTAATCTGACATTTGAAATGAAAAAAATGAACAAAGCAATGTTAAGGCAGTGAAGCAGCTAACAATAAATTTATTTTATAGACAAGATATTGTCCTCAAGTTTCAGAACCTAGCTAACTTACCTGAGTGCTCATCTGACTTGCATCAGTTTGACTTAATTCAGCCATCAATTATCTTTAAATATCTGCAAATCAGAAAGAATAGTTTATTGAACTTTTCAAAAAAATATTCAAGGCTTTGTAAATATTTTTGTACAAATCTGGAATACAAGGCAAATGTTTCCTAAAATCAAAGTTAAAATCATTTTGCAAGTGATCTCTATAAACCATAGGCAAAAATAATATGCGTTTAAAAATTACTTTTACAAAATGTGATTAAAAATTACTTTTTAAAGACAACACTTCAAAAGAATACAGTGTCTTTGATGCTACATATGTAGGATGAATTTCTAATGTTATTTTCATATATTAAAAAAATATTTTTACATTTTTTAATGAAAAAAAAAATTAAAAATTCTTTATTCTGTCAGTTGATTCATGAATTGTTTCTGACTTTAGGCAAGTGTGCAAAATTTCAGATCGATTGGACAGGTAGAAGTATGTTAAATATCAATTATAAGATTTGAAGCAGACAAAATTATTTTCCATTTTTATAGAACTACAAAAAAAAATAAAATTTCAAAATTATATATTCTGTCAATTGATTCATGCATTGTCTCCAACTTAACACAAGTGTGCAAAATTTCAGATTGATTGGACAGGTAGAAGTGTGTTAAATATCGATTATAAGATTTGTAGCAGACAGACAGACAAACAAACAAGAAGTGAATTTAAAGAGAAGTGTTGTAATGAGCTATTGTTTTACTCCCATGCAAGATTTTTAGCAATAATTTTTTCTTAATTATAGTCAAGGCCTGAGAGATGGGTCATGGGTACAATTTTCCATGGGCATTCTAATTGATCATAGGCATTCTAATTTTTAAATGACCATCTGGAATTGGAATTGGGGTGAGTTGTGACCTCCAGTCACGACCTTTAAATCAGTCATACACTCTGCCTAAAAACTTTTACTAGCATCAAAAAATTAAAAGTTCGCACTCGTATGTTAAGAAAAAAAGTTCAATTAAACCATATTCAAAGCAGTCCTAGGAAAACAAATTAAACAACGTGCTAAAACAATTTGGCACAGTCACATATGTCTTCTCACTCTCCCCTCTCTCAACCCTCCATTCCACTCCTATCATCCTTCTCCTCTTCCTCATCCTCCACACGTTTTCCAAATATCTCCTCACACTCTCAAACATAGCCACCGTTGCTCCCTCAGACAGACCCATAATTATTGCCATCTACTCTTTGCTTGCTCTCTCATGCCCCACTTTGTTAATCTCACCTCTCTCATTCAAAATCACTTCCATCATAGACTGATGCTCTCTCTCATACGCCCTACATTCCATCAACAAGTGCTTGACAGTTTCCTTCTCATCCCCATCACACATAAAACATTTATCTTCCCTCCTTTCATTCCACCTGTATGTACCGTATGTCCATTCACACCTAGCGCCCCTGCCCTAACACAAAACAGAAGGTCCCCACCTCTACTACCATCATACATACATACACATTTTAGCATTGCTTTCATCTGATAGTCTTAGAGTGTCCTTTCCCTCCATTCCTTGCTTCCACACCTTTAGTCCATAGTCTTTCACTCGCTTATTTATTTCTCTTTTCCACCCTACTCTATCCCAATTGCACCCTATAATGTCACCACCCATTCGTCGTTTAGCCCAGCGGGCCTTTGGCACACCCATGCTTCATGCATACCACACTTACGCACCACTGCCCAACATCTATGTGCCCATTTGCTCACCTTCATGTTCCACATATACATATTTCGAGCCCAACGTTCATCATCCATTCGCTCCAGTCTCACTTTATACCTCAAAACTGCTCTCATTCTTATTTCCTTGAAGGTACTCCAACCCCATGTCTCTTCTCAGGGCCTCTACTGCAGTCCACCTGGGGGCTCCTAGTGCCAATCATCTTGCCACTCTATTCTGTTCCAATTCCAATTTATCTAGCTCACCATCAATCAGGGTTGGCAATGATTATATCAAAATGATTAAATCATGTGATTAAATCACTTGATTTTTTTTATAAAAAAATCATGATTTTTTTGATTTTTTCATATATTTAAATATATCGAGTTGCAGTCTTCAATTTATATTGAGGTATTGTTATTCATGGTTTAGTATAAATGTACTATGAATGACAAATTGGTATATAAACTTGTTGCCTTTAGTGTGTACGTATTAGGTTCCAATAAATTGAATGTTTTTGGTACAGAGTCATCAAGTGTGCAATACATTGATTGTACATAGCTAGCAGCATAGCAGCATACCTAGCAGCTTAGCTAATTCTTATAAGGCTATAAGTAGTCTTTAACTATTTGACTATTTGTTATATATTGATTACAATATACAATTTAAATGTGTTAGATAGCTTATACAGGGTGGGGCAGAACTGATTGAACAGTTTTGAGGCAAAATAAAAGAGTAATGGAGGTACATAAAGACGAAAGTTTATTTTCCTCATGATTAGCATAACATACCATTTAAAATACTTATGTTTTGAAAACAATATCAGGAAGATGGGGTTTGTTAGCTGCATCACACTGTTGGAGTTGTTCTCAGAAGTTTCCTGTAGCACGTTCACACATATGGCAAGGTATGGCCATAGCCTCTGCTGCAATAATCTGTTCCCTTAGCTGTGGTAGGGTGTGAGGGCAACTTCTGAACCCCTTTCTTTTAGATGTCCCCAAAGAAAGAAATTGCAAATGCTCACATTAGGTAACCTTGCAGGCCACTGTAAATCACCCCTCAGAGACCCCAGACCTACGGGAAACATGCGTTTCAAAACATTGAGTGACGTTCGAGCTGTGTGAGCTGTAGCCCCATCCTGCTGGAACCACACGTCTCTCAATGCTTCATTTTCAACAATGTTTGCCATCATGGGCTGCAAGAAATTTTGCAACATTGCAGCATAGCAATCTAAATTCACAATCTTGGTTACTCCCTCCTCTGAGAACGACTCCAACAGTGTGTTGCAGCTAACAGCCCCCATCTTCCAGATATTGTTTTCAAAACATAAGTATTCTAAATGGTATGTTATGCTAACCTCTAGGAAAATAAACTTTCTTCTTTATGTACCTCCATTACTGTTTTATTTTACCTCAAAACTGCTCAATCGGTTCTGCTCCACCCTGTATATTGAGAGGTTGAGATTGTATTGACCTTTTAGGATATAAGAAAGATTTTCCACCTTAATAAGGGGCCCTCTTGCGTTGTCTCACGGCTGAGTCGCAGCCGTAGTGTTGATGTTGATTTTCTTGATGTGCTCACCGGACTCGTAGCTGCCTCGATAGTCTAGGTTTCTCGCGACCGTCAATGTTCGAAAACGACAAACCACCGGCCTCACGGCCGCGGCCATTGTGTCCGCTGACTGCAGACCATACATGCGTGACAGTCACTTCCGTATAACCAACAACAACTGGCGCGAAATCTGAGGTCCTTATATACGCTAGATTCGCGCACACTTAAGCCTAACCCTCGAATTCCTTCGAATGGAATGTCCCTCGCAACGCTGAGCGTCAACGTTTCAATGTAAACAACCTTTCCCACGGTCTCGCAATAACGGCCCGCATTCTTAGCATTCTTAACATCTACGCATAATACATGTTCAATATTACCTACTGTATTCATTTCCCTGTTTCTTCCCTAAAAAAAAAGGCTCACGACTTTTTTTTTCTATCCTAGTGATATTTGTTAATGTTGAAAGCGAACAAAACTTACATTATATGTAGAACCGTTGAAGACTGATGGAAGCCGACGGTTTAAAATTCAAAACAAAGCGGGGGTAGGACGCATCACGTACGCGGGTAGCGAACGGGACTATAAAAGACGGGAGGTAGAAGAAGAGGAGCTCAGTGATGGTCAGCCGGCGTGCTGGAAGGAAGTCTTGTGCGTTCTGTGAGGAAGTCTCGTGTTGGAGACTCTCCAGTGTGATCGATAGAGTGAAGTGTAAAGGACAGTATTCTGGTGAAGTCTCGTCTTATTGAGTAGGACATCAGAGAAGAATTTAGTACGCTTTCGGAGAATCAGCACAGAAGAGACTAATTTTTAGTCGTAGCCATCGGCGAACGTCCTGCACCGAAGAAACCGATTTCATACCCGTGATTTCGTCGACGGTCAAAGCCCCATCACGTTCGAGAATTTGTAATCATCAACGAACGTCCAACACCGAAGAGACTATTTTCGAGATAGAGTTTATTTCGGAAGACAAAATCTACAGGCCACAGCAAGAAAGGACGCATCACCCCAAATAACACGCACACCAGGGACCATGGACTGAAGACTTCCGATCATAATCTTCGCCGTCACTTAGCCTTGGGAAAACTCGCCACCGCTGCTTAGTGGCCTCGACATCTCCAAATTCTCGGTGATGTACTACGGGAAACTGTTAGAAACTATCTTATTTTCCGTAGAGTCATAGAAGTGAAATAACTGGGTAAATTGGTCGGGATAGGATTTTATGTTGAGCACAAATACTATGTCGGGAAATTCCCCTGTGTACTCTGTCTGAGCTACATATTTTGGTGTGGCAGTATAGGACTATATTTCGTGTAAATCGTGCTCTGCCGACTGTTCCATTTGTATTAGACTAGATTTTTCCTATAATATAGTAACTATAGAATTTATCTCCATGTGTTGTCATTGTTCCTTTGCTAACTAGTTTGCTGTTCTGACTTTTAGAACCGTACATCAGTGCGCTGGTTACCGCCACTCTGGCAAATGTCAACCTGGCCAAATTCCTAATTTGTATCAGCAGATAGAAAATCGATGAGTTAACTCAATAAATTTATGACTAAAAACGGTATTTCAGATTTAAATTCGTGGCCAAGTAGAAATGATTAAAGATCTCGAAAAGAGGTAAATAATAGTGAGAAATAGGAAGTCTTAGACTTCATAACAAAACTATTCACAAACCAAGTTTATTCATTTTTGTTTGGCCACTTGCACCATGGTTTACACGTACGAGCAGCCTCTGCAAAATACAAATGGGCACGGCAGACTTTTGGGCCGTGAATTTATTTAAATTTTTTTAAATAATTTTTTTAAATTATTTTTTAAAATTTGGCCGTAAATTTATGACAAGGAGAAAACGGCTGCAGGCCTAGAGGTTGAAAAGAATTGTTTTCCCGTTGGCGTCGTGGCGCGTAATCTTGTGGTTTGCTCTGCGCCTGGGCTACGGCATTGACCCGTGTTTGCACTTGCTGGTCAGAAAAAGGCATCAATTGGTCTGAAATTATTCAGACAATAAAAAGGAACCTATTAGAGCTTAAACTAACCTGCAGCGGGGATCAGCCAAACAATAATGACTAACAAGAAAATTCTGTGCGCGACGTTAACTTCCTACCGGTGTTGCCAAGGTAAAGGTAAATCATAATTTTATTACAAAATGAAAGTTGCAAAATGTCTTAACACTACAATATTTTTTGAATATTACATTCTTAAATTCCCATTTGTCAATAAAAATAAGACCCAAGAATCTAGCTACAAAATAATCAAGGTTTTGCTCTACTGACTCTACTCTCTACTCTCTAAAATGATCAGTTTTGCCATTTTAATGAAAAACTGATGAGATTAAATACGAAAAAATGTTTACTTCATTACTGCTCCATTGTGCATTAAAGGTATTCATTTAATTTCTGAACTTAGTGAACTAGGCTACAGTGGTAACCTATAGCCTAGTAAGCTTACAAAAGTACAAAAACATACATAGCCTATTTTTGTCCCAGCCATTGTCAGGCATGGAATATATCTACTTGGCATGCCGCGACTGAATTTTTCGAGCCGTGGTTTTATGGATTTGCCAGCCGTGATTCCATTTCTTCGAGCTGTGATTCCATTTCACCGAGCCGTGAATTCCATATCTCAGCCATGAAAAGCCATTTACGAGGCACGAATTTAATTACAAAGTCAATGCACGTACTACCTCAAATCTCTAATTTTACCCTAAAACAGTCAAATGGAAAAGATAAAATTTGTCTTTACTGTAGGTAAGTTGAGCATGTGTTAATGCAGTCTGACCGCTTTGACATGACCGCAACTATGGTCGATCTTCAACAAAACGTTTGGTTGATTTGTTTACATTACGATGTTTATGTTTTTTCTGCAGGATATATTGGCGGGAACGGTAAAGCAATGCAGATTGCGGAAGTTGAAAATTTTATGAAATGACACGTTTGCAAAGTGCAAACCGCGATTTTTCAATCAAACAAAAATTTATGACATTTGAGCCACGAGATTTCATACCTACTGAAATTATATGATACTAGAGCCACGATATTTCAGACAAAAATAGGACTTTTCCAGCCCTGGCCATTGTAGCCCCTGGCCCCCTTCAGCATTAATTTCTTTCAATTCCAGTTGGTTCAATATAAAATATATACATTATACAGATACCTTCTGACCTACATCCAGTACATCGGCTGCCGATCGGCATAACGACGGCATTTGGCAGGAACATCAGGATGTCAAGGCTCATAGTCTGATAGTCATGGCTAATGTCAGCCTAATGTTGTAGTAATGATGGCTTTGTTGTTAGGTAAAACGCCCATAAAAGCATATTTTCTCATAGGAACTTGTAAGAAATAAGAATATTAGGTAGCCTACCTAAATAGAATTTTTGAATAGCCTATTGTCTCTTGGTAATTAAAATGATGAAATACTCATTAATGGTATACTAATCAGTAATCATTACCATAAACCAGAAATTACCACATCACAGCAACTTCAGGAATCAGGTTTAGCCTTTAGCCTTAGGGCTTGACGCTGCAAAATAATTCAGCAGTGCCTGCAAGTTTGCAACTTGAAAAGCTCTCCTTAATTTGTTATTCCCCTTCACTTGTTTAATTATAAAAGTGACCTTACTGAAGCAAACTATGACACCTGAACATGAAAATAGTTCTTCAGAATTTCATTTATGGCGGCATTCAAATTTCATTGCTGAAGATTGCAATACGCACGTCGTTTAGAGAACCGTAGCACGCACACAACACGGAAGCAGCGTAGCACGGTCTGAGGTTAATTAAAAGTTCTATTCCGCAGATGCAGCATGCGAATATTGACACCATTTCTACCATGATTTGTAGGAGCCAAGATTCCCCAAAACACCTGTCCAATGCGGTTCCACGACAGTATAAAGCAATTTATTTGTCACAGAGTAATCTTTATTCAGTAGGGTGTGGAAGCTACGAAAATTTGCCATCAGCGGCCTCTTGGACTGGATGTCAAATGATGTCGAGGAAGTTTGGTAATAGGTTTATGATAATATAGCAGTTTCAGCATTTATTAGGCCGTAGGCCTGTCGCCGATTCTTAATATCGCAGAACATTTACTGCATTTTGCGGTTACGAACACGCAACTCACTGGTAGAATTCTGCTGTGCTTAAAAATTAACTGCTCGTCCTCGCCAATTCTGACTAGAAACTGGCGCACAGAGCTGGGAAGTGGGAACGATCCCACACCCATGGTTGAATGCCCACACCTCTCTGCTCCAAGTCCAATCTTGGTAATCTGAACTTTAACCACTGTGCCATACTGGCCAGATGTTGGCAATGGAAAACGGCCAAATTTGTTCAAAATATTCATGTTATTATAATGCCATATTTATTAGTAATTTTGCAATTTTAAGGGTAATAATTCAAATTTGGGATTGTTATACGTTGAATAATACAATAAATTTTAGGCCAACACAGATTTTTGCCGGCAGACGCTGTTGAAAAAAGGACCAAATCGTAAAATTTGGCCGTAAAAATGCACATTTGGCAACCCTTTCAAGAGTGGGACCTTAACGTTCAGTTTCCAGTTTTTATAAATAACGGTATGAATAATTTTTTTTCGGGTAGGCCACATTTTAGGTAATAATTTCAGTAGTATACACACAGAGAAAAGCAACATGCAAAAGCATTCGAATTTAGTGTGCTGTCAAGTTAGTCGAGGAGTTTGAGAAACTAAGGTTGGGTGTATACAGTTAACACTCCATAAAAAAATATTTATTTTCTGACTCGACAGTTTTCTCCCGCAAATCAACCAGGTACACAAAATTCAACACATCATGTGATTATTTTTAAAAACTTAACCAGAGCCCCAACAGATGAAAACAGCACTGTACAGCAATTAAGACAACTAAATAGGATTTATCTGAATCTGATCCTCTTTGGGAATTATAATAATTCAGACTTGGCTGCGGCTCCACTTCCACGCCGCGTTATCCTTTTAGGTAAACACCAGTTTGGCTAAACCTGCTTCATGAGACGCCAATTTACCAAGCAACATCGGGTCCAATTGTTAGCATAGTGAATAGTGATGTCTGCGCTGAAGAATAGGCCTGATGTGGCCTGTCGCCGATTCATGTACTTTTCGTCACTTGTCCACAGACCACAGGAGATCTAAAAATAGGTCTTTCGTCCTGATCTTTTCCAAACTGACGATAGTTTGAAATAACTAATAGACCTCTATCGGGTTCGAGATGGTGCTAGGCATTTCAAGTCTGAACATATATTTCTCCATAGCTTTGTTTAGTTTGTTCATGAACGAGTTTATACTCAGAGCGTCAACGATGTAATCGGGGAGGCTGTTCCACATGTCGGTGATTTGAATCGAGAAGAAATATTGTCGCGTGGATGAGTTGCAACGCATTTCAAATTCTAGTAATCAAATTCTCTTGTTTCAAATTCTAGTAATCCTTCTGGGATCTTGTATTAAACCATGAGTATGAGAATACTTCAATGAGGTCCCCACGCAGGCGTCGATAACAGAGGCCTGGAAGCTTCATAATATTTAGTCTTTCCTCATAAGACTTGAAATATTTCATAATAGTTATTCTTTCATAATATAAAATCTTTCTTCATAAGACTTTTTCATAACCCTTATAGCCTGGAATTATCTCTGTTGCACGTCTTTGAACACTCTGTAATAAAATTTTGTGAATAGTATTATTTTTCAAATCAATGGTTCAATGTAATAGATCGTGGAGAACTGTCATGAATAGCAAAGACAGTGTCTTTTTCATGGAACTCAATGTTGATTCATTCGCCTTATCAGAAGACGCCCTATGGACCTAATCAGTAACCTATCGTATTCTTTCCGCTCGCCAACTAAAAAGGACAATATGCGGTGGATTCAACAGAGGTCACAGGTCAGCATAGCCCAAGTACACAGCGTGATTCATATACCTTCCCGAGCGTAACGCAGCCGGGCATCTTCACGGCTTTTCACACAAAGCGCCCACCACAAGTCCACAAGTCCACAACAGCGCCGTTCAGTCACAGGCCGGAGCGCATACAGGCCGGAGCACCAGGGCCTGTTTACGAGTCAATTTTGTTACCCACGGCTGCGCTCCCACAATATGCTGGTCATCTCGACTCTCAACCGTTAACTGTAAAGCGATGTTGAGCCATGACAACCGTAGTGGTAGGATAGGAAAATTCACGATAATACTGTAGTTGGCTAGTTGCTTTTTATGAAATAGACTTCCGATCTTCCACTTGCAGTACCGCAGAGTCAGTCGAGGCTTGCTGTTTACTGTCATATATTTGATCATCAGCATAACTTTTTTCTTCCAAAATTTTAGTTTTTCACCTGTACTTCCTTCTCGAATAGTTGTGGACAGTCAACAGTGTGGAGGCGAAGTAATTCATTGTGCTCTGCACGCAACCTGCTTATGTTGTTGCCCAGAAGCCAGTTCCACATGCCGGTGAAACGAATCGAGATTGAGTGTTGCATTGAAGTTGTCCCAGTTTAAACATGCTTCATATTTTAAACCTCCTTTCGTCATCTAATTCTGTGAGTCCTTTATAAATCATGAGTAAACTTTCACATTTATACAAGGTAGCCATGGAGACGGCGATGGCAAAGACTTCATAATCCTTTATCTTACTTCATAAGGCTTGCTCATTAATTCATAAATAATAGCTGCTTCTCGCTAATGTAAACTCCGACTAAATAATAGTAGTATTTTTTTCAGATTCGGCGAGTTAAACCCTATACCGCCTGACATGAGTAACGGGAGCAATATTGTCATAAGCCTATTTCCCAAAAAAGTAATACGTTGTAGAGCGCAAAATGACTTGCACTGATGGCTGCTGCCACGTACAACTCTAAAATGTTCTCTGTTTCGTACAAACGTCTTCAGGTTGCTACCCTGAATAGTTTACGTATAATTTAGGTTGAAAGTTATCTTCCCGGAGAGTGATATACGGCGGTAGAGGGTTAAGCTACCAAACTCCGGATGCTGCGAACGAGTGCGACCGGCTGTAACCTAATTGATTCTGCATCTAAGGACCCGTTTGAACGTCAGATCAGTC